CTTTTCCCCTCAATTGCTTAAGAATGCCTGTCTGCAGTGTATTGTTTTTGACATTTTCACATTTGAAGCACGTAGAATACATTACTTAGCAATGCACTGGCTTAGTAACCTCAGATTTGGCAGGGAGGTTGTCCTTGAGCTTTAAATGGCCACTGTTGATTCTGACAAAGTGGTATGCGGGGGTATTCACGCCATGATAGTGGCAGTTCTAGTTGTGATAGCGTATAAGTGTAACCCTGACCTTTGAAGAAGGGACGTGGTTCCTGGATACTACAGAATGTTGTCATGAGAAAGACATTTGTGCCAAGTTATTTCAAAATCCCTCAATGCATGACAAAGTTACATACTGGACATGATTGTTGTGTAAGTGGGGACACACAGACGGACATAAGCCTTAGCTGCGATACATCGTCGTGATGTGGTAGACAATTGTGCCAAGTTATTATAAAAATTTTCCATGCATGACAAAGTGCAGTCCGGACATGAATGTGTATCTTCAAAACTCTTCTCGAATGAATGAATACCTTCAAACTATAAGTATGACTTTGACCTTGAAGGTAGGGATAGTGGTCTTAGTCGCGACATGTCTTGATGTGGAAGATATTTATGCCTAGTTATTTTGTAATCCTTTGATGCATGACAGTCCGGACACGAATGTGTGTAACTATAAACTCTAATTTTGATATAGTGAACTTCAAAATGTTAGTGGCGTGATAAGTTGACGCCCCACATCGTCTTGATGTGGAAGACATTTATCCCGAGTTATTCTAAAATTCTTCCATGCATGACAAAGTTACATTCCGGACACAAATGTGTAAACCTATGAACTTTTATTGTGATAAAGTGAAACTTCAAAATGTTAGTGTGACCTTGACCTCTGAGGTAGGGACGTAATGCTTGGACGCCACACATCGTCTTGATGAGGTAGACATTAATGCCTAGTTATTTAAATATCATTCCATGCATGACAAAGTTATAGTCTGAACAGAAATGAAGTGGGGACGCACAGACAGACGGACGTCCAGACAGACAGAGGGACGGTGCGATTTTAATATGCCTCCCTTCGGCGGCATAAAAATGTTTTTTATCAACACCTATATCAGGTGCGATTAGATTTATAACTCAAGTCCTGTATTTCTAGAATTATCTCCATTTCATTTTTAGCTCACCTGTCACAAATTGACAGGGTGAGCTTTTGTGATCGCTTTTCGTCCGGCGTCCGTCCGGCGTCCGTCCGTCGTCCGTAAACTTTTACTTTAAATGACATCTCCTCATAAACCACTAGGCCAATTTCATCCAAACTTCACAGGAATGTTCCTTTGGTGGTCACCTTTAAAAATTGTTCAAAGAATTTAATTCCATGCAGAACTCTGGTTGCCATGGCAACCGAAAGAAAAAACTTTAAATATCTTCTTTTAAAAAACCCTAAGAGCTAGAGCTTAGATATTTGGCATGAAACATCTTCTAGTGAGTGTCTACCAAGTTTGTTCAAATAAAAGCCCTGGGGTCAAAATTGGCCCCGCCCCAGGGGGTCATTGATTTTCCCTACATGCATATAGTAAAAACTTAAAATATCTTCTTTTTAAAGAACCCAAAGAGCTAGAGCTAAGATATTTAGCATGAAACATGTTCTAATGGGTGTCTACCAAGTTTGTTCAAATAAAAGCCCTGGGGTCAAAATTGGCCCCGCCCTGGGGGTCATTGATTTTCCTTATATGTGTATAGCAAAAACTTAAAAAATCTTCTTTGAAAAAACCTAAATAGGTAGAGTTTAGATATTAAGCATGAAACATCTTCTAGTGAGTGTCTACAAAGTTTGTTCAAATAAAAGACCTGGGGTCAAAATTGGCCCAGCCCCGGGGGTCATTGATTTTCCTTATATGTGTATAGCAAAAACTTAAAATCTTCTTTGAAAAAACCTAAATAGGTAGAGTTTAGATATTAAGCATGAAACATCTTCTAGTGAGTGTCTACAAAGTTTGTTCAAATAAAAGCCCTGGGGTCAAAATTGGCCCAGCCCCGGGGGTCATTGATTTTCCTTATATGTGTATAGCAAAAACTTAAAATCTTCTTTGAAAAAACCCAAATAGCTAGAGTTTAGATATTAAGCATGAAACATCTTCTAGTAAGTGTCTACAAAGTTTGTTCAAATAAAAGCCCTGGGGTCAAAACTGGCCCCGCCCCAGGGGTGTCATTGTTTTTAACTATATGTGTATAGTAAAAACTTAAAAAAATCTTCTTTTAAAAAGCCCAATGAGCTAGAGCTTAGATAATTAGCATGAAACATCTTCTTATGGGTGTCTACCAAGTTTGTACAAATAAAAGCCCTGGGGTCAAAATTGGCCCAGCCCCAGGGGGTCATTAATTTTCCCTATATGCATATAGTTAAAACTTAAAAAAATCTTCTTTTAAAGAACTCAAAGAGCTAGAGCTAAGAAATTTAGCATCAAACATGTTCTAATAGGTGTCTACAAAGTTTGTTCAAATAAAAGCCCTGGGGTCAAAATTGGCCCCGCCCCGGGGGTCATTGATTTTCCTTATATGTGTATAGCAAAAACTTAAAAAATTTTCTTTGAAAAACCCAAATAGCTAGAGTTTAGATATTAAGCATGAAACATCTTCTAGTGAGTGTCTACAAAGTTTGTTCAAATAAAAGGGCTGGGGTCAAAATTGGACCCGCCCAGGGGGTCATTGATTTTCCTTATATGTGTATAGCAAAAACTTAAAATCTTCTTTGAAAAAGCTTTTGTGATCGCTTTTCTTCCAGCGTCCGTCCGGCGTCCTTCCGTCGTCCGTAAACCGATAGAAAAAACTTAAAATATCTTCTTTTAAAAAACCCAAAGAGGTAGAGCTTAGATATTTGGCATGAAACATCTTCTAGTGAGTGTCTATCAAGTTTGTTCAAATAAAAGCCCTGGGGTCAAAATTGGCCCCGCCCCAGGGGGTCATTGATTTTCCCTATATGCATATAGTAAAAACTTATAAAATCTTCTTTTAAAGAACCCAAAGAGCTAGAGCTAAGATATTTAGCATGAAACATCTTCTAATGGGTGTCTACCATATTTGTTCAAATAAGAGCCCTGGGGTTAAAATTGGCCCTGTCCCGGGGGTCATTGAGTTTCCTTATATGTGTATTGCAAAAGCTTTTTAAAAAAATCTTCTTTGAAAAAACCCAAATAGCTAGAGTTTAGATATTAAGCATGAAACATCTTCCAGTTAGTGTCTTCAAAGTTTGTTCAAATAAAAGCCCTAGGGTCAAAATTGGCCCTGCCCCAAGGGACATTAATTTTCCTTATATGTGTATAGCAAAAACTTAAAAATCTTCTTTGAATAAAAACAAATTGCTAGAGTTTAGATATTAAGCATGAAACACCTTCTAGTGAGTGTCTTCAAAGTTTGTTCAAATAAAAGCCCTGGGGTCAAAACTGGCCCCGTCCTAGGGATGTCGTTGCTTTTAACTATATGTGTATAGTAAAAACTTAAAAAATCTTTTTTTTTAAAACTCAACGAGCTACACCTTAGATGTTTAGCATGAAACATCTTCTAATGGGTGTCTACCAATTTTGTTCAAATAAAAGCCCTGGGGTTTAAACTGGCCTCGCTCTGTGGGCCTATATACAGGTGAGCGACTTCAGGGCCATCATGGCCCTCTTGTTTAATTATTTTCTGACTTTTTTTGTTATGAATCAGTGTTCATGACCTGTAAACTTTAGTAAATGTATACAATATCTTGGTCAGGTGTATTAAGTGTATTGTATTTTAGTTTTGAAATATATCTAAAGTGAGAGAATTTGAGGTTTGAATTATAATCATTATAATCATACATTGTAAATGTGTTGTGCACCGTTCCTGTACATGTAACAATTTTGTACAGATGTTTGTTAACAACCGAAAGTGGTAAGCCATTGACACCATTATAGAGCAAAGTCAGTCTGCATTTTTCGTGCAGTCTGACCAGGCTCTATACTGTTGGCAGCTCAATTTTATTTTGGGTATTGAAATCCCTTTAAAGTGTTCCAAATTCGAAACTAGGATAATCCATTATATAAGTTTAGCAGGTTAAGGGTTAATACAAGATATATTTTTACAATGAATTCTGTCCAAATTTAATATATCAAGATAGACTGGGTATACTTTTGGACATGTTTTACATAAAAAATATTTTTTTAATAACCCAACAGATACTAGTAAGCCTAAATAATAAAGAATTTTGCATCATCAGATCAATGCATGAATTTAAGATATAAGTAATAGCAAAGTATTTGAAAGGTTATAATTTAAAAAAAGTATTTGGCTTCCTTTCATTATGTTTTGTAATGATACACTGCTGATACCTTCTTTGAGAATTTAGATAAATAATTCTTGAGAAAAAGTTAAAAGCGAAATTGAGTTATGTTATAAAGCTTATTGTTCAATGATGGCAGGAATGTCTGTTATGTACAAAATTGTTTACAGTACAGGGAACATATTTTTTTGGCTTTATTTGCTTGTGTTTTGTCATTGAATTACACAACAGTATGGTTTGATGTGTACTTTGTCATAGTATACATTCACATGGACATGGAATTGTCAGTTGGCAGAAAATTGATGGAAAAAACTGAAATATAAAACTGTAAAATTGACTGTGTTTTGTCTTTCTTTATATAAGTACTTGTATCTAACTTGGATGTCTAATATATAAGTTTACATTGAACAGCCAATGAAATAACATAAGAACATAAAGTAAGTAGCTCTTCACAGCCTATAATACTGTTTTAATAAAGAGATACGGTTTAGTCAAGTCACTAAAGCTGTGAGGCGGTTATCCAACTTCTTTATTGGATTTTTAATTGTTCTACTCAGTTGCCCATATGTGCCTGAAATAATGTAAAAGGGTGCTCCAGGCTTGCTGAGGTCTTCCTCAACCAAAAAGCTTGAAAGTTGCCATATGACCGAGTAAGCTGGAAATACACAGTATGATCTTAACTGTGCTAGTACACTTGTGCATTTTGACAAATAAAAGTCTCTGAAAGTATCAAATTTATTAGTATTAAGACAATAGCAAATAACATACAAAAATACCAGATAGTTTAAAAAAAACGTTAGGTGTGCACAAAGTTGGTTAAAAGTCCCATCTATCTACATCCTTTCTACATAAAATTATTCATTAGCCCACTATAGGCTGACCATCATTGACTGAGCACACTTTATTCCAATCACAGTCATCAATAAAATGTTTGTAACCCAGTCTAAAATCTCTGTACCAGCATGTTTCACTGTTGCATTTTGGGATAGTGACAGGTTTCCCATTGTAAACCAGTTTCAATGCATAATTATCTGCCCCTGATCCACCACAATTGTAGAGAATAAATGCCAGATGAGAGGAGAAGGTGTCATGGGATGATGCCCTGAATGTTCTGTTCTTCATGGCCTCATAATTGTCTGCTCTGATGGCATCGGCGTCCTTGAACAGGCCTAAACCGGTGGCAAGGTCAACTACTGTGTCAGTATGACCAACTTGAAATATGCCTTTCGTGTAGCTTAAATAGAAGAAGCAAAAGAACTATATAAAGGTCCCTTCATCTGTTTCCAGAAGCAAAGTGCGTATCGATACCGGGAATCATGTAAATGTTATATGTATATCATAACAGGTGAATATTGTTTGGTGTTTTGAGTCTGTTATTGGAATATTTTCTCCCTCATTGTTTCAATTTTTCACACACCTAATCCAACAAAAACAATTTTAAAAAAAAAAAGAAAAAAAGACTGAAACAAAGGACATGCCATGAATGGGTAAATATCGTGGTGGAAGTGTAGAAGGGCCACATAGCATTTCGATTTTTGTAATAAAATTGATACAATTTCCCCGCGATATTGACTCATTCATTTCTCGTCATTTGATACAGTCTTATTCCCTTTTTAAGATATCTTTTTTGACGTTGGTTAAGGTACATGCCTATCAAAACACCAAGAAAGAAGAAAATTTCCAACAACAGACTCAAACACCCTACTTGAAACAGCAGCGTGACTTGTCCTGTGGTAACACCTTTAACTGCAGAGCTTGCACATGAAGGATTTTTACAGTTATTGTGGGTTTTTGTTAAAATCGAAAAGAGAAGAAGTCTTAAACAGAAACATCAAAGTTATATGAAGATATAAAGTATTAAAAAAAGATCTACAAAACAGTTTGGTCAACAATAATCATTTAGTTAAAAAAATGAAAGGTTTTTGTATTTTTTCAAAAACTGGTCATGTAAAACTTTCCTAGAAGTATCGAAAACCCCGTCCGCAAACTTTTGAGTCTGAACGTTATTTTCAATGAATTTAATTTACAGAATCTCATCTACACTTAATAAAACTAAATCAAATACAACTTATTATAATTTTACCTTGATCCAAGATCGTTTGCAGCGATAGCCGAATCCATATCTGTAAAAGCAGCTTTAGCAAGTGGACATGACATTTGACCAACTACCGGGTGAGCGTACAGCTTGATTAAATACTCCTGCAAATGAAAATCAAATGAAAGTTTGCGCGATGAATAAATACCTAATACTAAATATATTGATGAAATGACGACTCTATAATTTTAAAGTCGGAATATAGAATGTTTCCTTTACAACAATAGTCACTTAAGTATTTGAAGAAAAAGGTGTTTCTAGCAGCTTCAGTGGGGGAGGGGGGTTAACTGCATCGCAAAGATATTACCTCAATGTCCTTGTCGTATTCCAGTACTTCTCTGTCGTCTTCTGTCAATAAGGTACACCAGTCAGCCTTGTTCATAATAGCAAGCTCCGTCGCACATAACACGTACAAAACCTTAGCGTCACCTTGAACAAAGTACAAAGTTTAATTTAACAAATCTGTCTCATTACCATAAATGTGTATTAATTACAAGAACATAACATAGCTTTCAAATATTGAAATAAAAGGTTTAAACAGTTTGAAGCACTGTAAAGGTTATATAATATTATATTAACACAAGTCATGAGCTGTTGGACATTGTAAAATACCCTCATAGAAATATTTTAGTTTAATGAAATACAATACTACTTCTGACATGTGCAACAGGGAGAAAATAAAGAACTCCTAAAACGGCAGAATTGAATAGACTCAGTTTGATTGGTTTTTACAAAATTTATTTTAGTTCGATTGTGTATGAAGGTATAAGCTTATAGACACACTTTCAAATCCGTTCCTGGAACTAACCATTACTGAGGAATGAGTGTAAAGTTTCTTGCTCAAGGAAACAACTACATGTACTTGCCGAACCCATGCGGTTAGCAGTAGTTCGACGCGTTAACCACTCGGTCATCTTCATGGACGGTACTGGCAAATGCAAACTGCCTTCAACGCAAAATTCAACCTTTTCAGACTTGTAATTAACTAGGAGTACAAACCGATTGACATTGAAACATTGGCACCAAGTCTCTTAGTGATATCCCGGAGCATCTTTTGAAATTTTGGACCGTTCTCGAATTTTAGTACCTCACTCCTATCTGCGATATCATGCTCATACTTTTTACAGTTGTCATAAAACCGTAGAATGTCATCTCTGATCTTAGGATTTATATTCGTTGAATTTTTCCCGAAGAAAACGTCTGTTAAACCGCTATAGAGAAATTTAACGCTATTTTGTGTCCGTACTTTATGCGTAGCTGTAAAATTTAAGAATTTCGGCGTGCCATCTACCCCTAATGTCCCATTTAATAAATCAAACAGCTCAGTTCCAAAGTACTTTCCTAGATAAGCCATTTCTCTTCTCCCCAGCGCTGTTAGTTGTTCTGTCTTTTCTTCGGGGTAATTATTAACCCAGTCGTTTATAAAGTTATAATTCTGATTGGAAAAATTGTTTTTCAGTTTTCGTTGAAGAAAAGTGAAAGAACGCATATCTTTTAAGCCAGTATATCTAGCACCATGCCTTGCTACAACATTCACGTGCACTGCGTTACAAGTCCGGCCGCCAATCGTTATTTGCATCAGCCGATTCTTAACTAAACCTTTGTCTGGATGTGTCCAGAAGTACGCCGTTTTGATTCCATATTGATTATTTCCATATCCCATGTTTGTATATGAGAATACATCACCTAAGCTTAATTTAATTAAACCTATGCTCACAACGACACATACTGTGTTCACCAACGCCATTACCAGCACGACAGTAAACTTAATATTACCTGAGACATTCGCGAATGAAAGATTTGGTCTTAATTTACATTGAAACATTGATATGAACCTTTTTTACTCCCTATGCTACACAACTGAGATATTTTAAAATCTATACTTATAAATTATAATAGAGCATCCAACATATGGTCGAAGTCAAGATACACAGGAATGTATGAAATGAAACACATTTTACTATGGAATGATATTGAGGTAAAATTACACAATGCCTGCTAACTGATTCAATTTACTCATTGACACTGCTATTGTGCTTATTGGTACAGTCGTTATGCATGCTTGCACTTTCATCACGCTTTTTGACAATGATACCATGCTTGCTGGAAGTAACAACTTGTTTGGTGTTTAGTCCCTGATGCCTTTTTCATATTTTTCCCTTTGGGTGAATACATTTCAAAATTTGCGCAAAAAGGGTTTTTTTCATTAAACTGTGGCCCGGGTTATCTTGGGGTTTAAATTTTTAAAGCAAAACAGAATGATTTAACCCGTATGGAAAAAAATTTTCAGGCCCCTAGGCAAAATAAAAAACTAAGGGATAATGTATTTTTAAAAAATTTTGTTTACATTTTTTATAACAGGGGGCGGGTATGTTTTAGTCTGTTTTTCCGTAATTTGAAAAAATTATTTTTCCCGGGAAAAATTACGTGGATATTTCCCAATATGTATAGACAGAAACTATCAATAGTTTTTTTCCCCCTTTTTTTCAATTTTCCATTTGTTTGTAAATTTATTTTTGCATTTGACTGCGGTCAATTCCCTTTTTCCCGTAGCCCTTTTAAAATATATATTCTTACGCATGCCATAACGTTCCAAAAAATGCCATAACAATTAACATTGACTCACTGTTTAAAATTTTGACTGGACTGGAATTAGTCACAGGACTGTGACCAGTAATGATGGCCCTACATCTAATTTAAGTAATTTGATTTGATTTAGGAGCCATTTTCAATTTTAGCTCGCCTTCTACATCTCATTTGCTTAAATTAAATTGTTTTTCTTAGAAATGGAGGACTTGCGGTTTGAAATTTCTGAAATTCCACAAATTAAGGTGGGGGGGGGGGGGGAGATCGTATTAGATGTAGAGGGAAAACTAATAAACTATATTTGTGTAATGATTATTGTCGTAATGAAAGGCGATTTAAAAACGTTAAGTTTTTATTGTATGTAATGAACGGTAAATTAATTTAACTTGGGATATAAATATAAATATATTTAGAGCTATTTATTAACAAACTTAAAATGCAGAAATCACAATACTTATAATTATATGCCTAATTAATTGGAAAAATTAAAGACTATATTCTTGAATTGGTCAACTCCCGGAATCCCTATATGTTTTAATACGATCTCAGCTTTTCTGAAAACTATATTCTTGAACTGGCCAATTCCCGGGATCTTCATATATATTTAAATACGATCCCGGCTTTTCTGAAAACTATATTCTTGAACTGGTCAATTATATATTTTAACACGATCCCGGCTTTTCTGAAAACTATATTCTTGAACTGGTCAATTCTCGGGATCCCTATATGTTTTAACACGATCCCGGCTTTTCTGAAAACTATATTCTTGAACTGGTCAATTCCCGGGATCCCTATATATGTTTTAATACGATCCCGGCTTATCTGAAAAATATCTTCTTAGACTGGTCAATTTCCGGGATCCCTATATTTTTAATACGATCCCGACTTTTCTGGCTGAATTGATTGACTACTTGTGTTTACCTTTTCTAATTGCATATTAGCACTCTTGATGCCCAATATACAACGACTTCCATTGCCATTACATGTACTTACAATATTAAATAAGATTTTGTGTGTGTGTCATTCTGAGGTCAATTAATAAACGCTTTTGTCTGTGAAAAAAATACGTTATTTTTAAAGATTTTTATCACTACTTCAAAGCAAACTTATTTAGAAATTTCTACAAAAATGAAACAAAGGGACACAACTGATGGGAAACGGTTTAGGCAACAGCTAATTAAAGTCCGGCATATTTCGCAAAAACTACGAACGTGCGCCCCCTGGTATCAAAATGTGATGTGCAAATTTGCAATTCACATTATGCTTACTTTCAACTTGCTTAGTGGCTGATTGCATCTATCATTTTGTGTGGTCACATCGTGTGTAATGTTCTAGGAGCATTATAACTGTGCAATGTTGAAATATCAAAGCTTATATATACAGTCCCGGCATGTTGAAATATTTCATTAAGCTACATTGCACTGTCAATCAGCCATATAGACATCAGGGACTAAACACCAAACAAGTTGTAACTTCCAGCAAGCATGGTATCATTGTCAACAAGCGTGATGAAAGTGCAAGCATGCATACCAATAAGCACAATAGCAGTGTCAATGAGTAAATTGTAACAGTAAGCAGGAAGTGTGTAATTGTCAACAAGCGTGATGAAAGTGCAAGCAGGCATTGTGTAATTTTTACCTCAATATCATTCCATATTTTACATTGTAATGGGTATATGTTTATATATCGGAATTGTGACTAAATTAACACACGCCGTGGTGACTTTATTTCCATTCACAAAATAGTTATAAGGTTATTGACAGAGCTTTTGAAAATAAAGATGCTGTACTCGGAGATATTTAAGCATGTACATGAACACTAGAAATTTCTCTGGCATATGTACTCAGACACCAACAATTTATGGTATTTAACATAGTAAGATTCGGATTTAACCCAGGAAAAGAGAAGACAATGGTTATGTATTATATACGATGGTGAAATTGCCTGAATTAAAGATGTAGGTGCCTTTACATGCACCTATGTGTATTCTCTTGCGCAATGATGCCAAGGATGTTGGTGCCTATCGATGACCCTAACTCCAAACTATAAAGTTCAATGTATAATATTTAAAGGTACATAACTGAACAAATAAAATGTCTTGGCTCTGGTTACATTAGAACTACTCTCCCTTGCATTTAACAACAACTGCATTTGATAATGAAAACGACCATATTCTCCTGTAGTCCAACTAATTAGACTTGTCAAAGAGACACCGAGATAATTTTGGACGGGCGCTGTCTTTTTCCAAGTCCAACCACGAACTGCATTTTTATGCACGGACGCTTCCCAATTAGAATTTGTTGGGAGCGAAAACTAGAAAAGTTTCAAAGAAACGGTCTACATTACCTGAAAGAGAATCGTTTTTTATGCAAGGTTCCAAATTATCATACTTTAAAGTCGAACAGAAGTCTAAATATTCCACTTTAATTTTTTTAATCGTTGAAAATTATTGAAAGCGGCCATATTGAAAGCGGTGTCATGGTAAAAAACCGTAAACTTGTAAATTTCCATGGTGTAACACAGGTATCGGCGGCAATCGATTGTATTTGCCAACCTTTATTATACAATTTGTTTATGTTTTTTATATGAATTATTGCAGGAATAACTCTTTTATTCACACACAAATATTTCAGCATTAAAAAGAGAATGTGAAAAGGAAATTCTGATAACCTTACTTAGAAATTAAATAGTTTATGATGTCCGATGTCAGATTATACTGCATTTAAGTCCGTTTAAATTGTCAAATTAGATATTATTAAGTTGGACTTTTTAACATCTGTGATCATTAGGTGAAATTTCTGAACTACCTTTTTATTTTATAACCCTGCCATGATTTCCCACATACGAAAATACAATGTAATTGTAGGTACATCTTAATGAATTATAATTATACTATACATGATGAAGCAAAGAAGAATTTCAATTTATATTACACTCCATATCAATTTCTAGTTTGTTATCTTTAAAAGAAATTGAGGACGGTTGTGTAGGGGAAGAAGTTCAAAACAACCAAAAATAACTTTAAAATTCTGAAAGAAAAAATCTTAAAATTTCAAACTATAAAATGGAATTTCAGACAGTCCTCAGTAAAATACAATTGTCGCACAGATATGACGGGGTTTATGATAAAAACGCAGCAAGCGGAAATTTAGTGACCGTTATTTAGACGTTGAATAGCATAAACTATGTAAGACAGATGGGAGAAATGTTAGAACGACTGTCGCAAAAGGACACCAAAACCTCTGATACCAATTTAAAATTCCATGTTATCTAGTTCCCGCTTTTCATTGAACGGCACCTCGAATGTGTCACATTGAAAGTTCCATGATTACCGCCGTATTATGTACACATCTGTGGATGTTGATTAAAAATTTCAACATTATTATGTTTAAGTGATCAATTCTGTTTAAACCGGCGAAAGGGAGCACTTGCACCTACCAGAGCCGTCTTTGGCACTCATGTGTATTTATGTTTCGATTTTGCAGTTTCAGGCGTTTTTGGTGGTTTTTTTTTTGGAGGGTGGATACATGTATGTGGATAAGTTTTTTCTGCTTTTCTTTACATTTCTTTGCTTGCTTGCCGAACCTTGTATTGATAATCATTATCTGTTTTGTTACGGTTCGGTATACATGTATACAATATGATAAACAAGATGAACAAGGAAAGGCGGCGTTCAATGAACGCAACCCCCACACGACCCAGGAACAAGAACCATTGGCAAGGAGCCCAGGAGGATCCTAAATTAAAACGGGACAGGGCGCAAGGGAGAGCACGGTCAGGCTTATCACTAAAATGTAACTGAGAAGGAAATCAAAGAAAATGAAATAAATGAATGATTAATAGGACCACTAAGTTAACGGGCACAGGGGAAGGGGATAGGAAATTCGGGGAAGGGCGAAATAATGAAATAAAACTAGGGGCAAAGGGAAGATACTTACCAAAGACGAGAAAACAACAAGGGACACAAACAAAAGTGTCACCAAAACAGTATGAAACAACAAGACATACACCTTATATATTTATAAGTCTCTTAATCTGTTCATTTGAAAATTCTGATCTTCTCAATGACTTTTTTTTAATATCCTCTACTTAAAATTTATTTCAATTAAAATATGTGACCCTTCTTTTATAGTTACACAGCATATGGCTGGAACACAATAAAGTTCCTTTTTAGTAAATTAATAAAGTATGTCAAGAAGACATTTAACTTTATCAATAGGTTTAATATGGTATTATATATCGGCAATCGGTGAAAAAGAGCTCTTGAAATATTATTTTTACAAATACTGAATAATTTGAAGTGTATTTCAAATAGTTTCCTTCAATATTTCTTTTACGTTCTTAATTGTCATATAA